TATGAAGGCGAGATGGATTATAAGACGTATTTGGATTTCGTTTTAGCATTAAAGAATCGGCACGAACCTCAGTCTTCATTACCTCTTTCGAATTCTCGACATTAACAATCGTGGTTACTTGGATACTTTTTGTCTGAATTATTTTTTCAGGGTATGTATTACTATAACATAAATTTTGTTACAGTTTCTGAATCAATTTCACGAAGTGAAAAACACTAAAATATTTTGTAGGCGATACAAGAACAGATGACAATGCATGGTCAAGAGCCCGTTAATTTTGAAGATGTCAAAGATATTCGATATGGTGAAGCCAGCAAATCCGTGTAAAATTACGTAAGAAATTTATAAGCATATATACGGTGGAACGCGCGGGCGTTCGTCTTTCTTCGGAGCGCTTCGGGCTATACGATCTCAGCGAAATATTTTTCTTTATTCGTCTATAGTCGATAGACAAGATGTTTCGTGATAATTTTGATGTTCGATGAAGATTATTATAGTCAATGTTCTATTGTTGCATATAGTCATTATAATAATGGTCATTCAATCGTTTTGTAGATCCACCGCAATATCAAGGTTCGTACGCACCAAATCGATTCGATATTAAACCCGGTCATCGATGGGACGGAGTCGATACAACTAACGGATACGAGAAGAAGTAGTACGAAGCACAAAATGCAAAAGTAACTTTACAAGAAGATGCTTATAAGTGGAATACAGCCAACACATAAGCCGACTCATATTCGTTTTTCTATTCTGATTTAGAAAAACGAACATTTAAAACGATGTAATATTATCAAAAATATAGTCACTATTATTTAAACTACGCAATTTGCAGAAGAAAATTGTAAGACTTTTATTTTCGTAATCGTAAAAATAGTTTTATAGCTGATTTGGTATAGAAATAAGCAACAAATATATGAATTATGAATATTTCTTTAATTAACATTCTAAGCGAATTTTACAGGGAAATTTTACAAATAACAATGCAGATGATAATAATAATAATACATACAATAAACCCAAATAATAATGCAAATAATAAATAATTACATTAATTACATTAATTAATTAGCAGATAATAATAATAATACATACAATAAACCCAAATAATAATGCAAATAATAAATAATTACATTAATTACATTAATTAATTAATGTAATTAATTAATTAATTAATTAATGTAATTATTTATTTCAAAATTATTAAGGACATTAGGCCTTTTAATTAATTATTGTAATTAATTAATTAATTAAAAGGCCTAATGTCCTTAATAATTTTTAACAATTGTCACATTCGGCTTCGGCCTCCCTCTAAACATTCTTCTACCACGATAACTACGATGATAGTTACCGTGGTAGTGACCGCCACCACGACTACCGCCACCTCGACCACCTCCATCACCACCATCTTGTTGACCATGTCCATCACCATCTTGTTGACTGCGGTCATTAGTATCTTGCGTAGGCGCGTCACGATAATGACGGCGGAGGTACCATTGGGCCCGGCTACGCCCACGTCTCTGTCCTCGTCGATTTACTGCTGAAACAAAAGAAAATATAAAAATATAAATAATTACCCAGTGACATACTTGGCTGATAATCAGTGAAGTTCAACTAAAAACGGAAGAATGTTTGAGCATTATACAGGGTGTCCCGACCTTTTCTGCAAATCACTTTTGTGTAGATAGAGTGGACTAAACTGAGTCCTTTAACTATATTGCAATTTTTGCAATAGTTAATAAGATATTAATTACTAAAAATTGCAAAATATTAGTATTGAATAATTTTTTACTCAAATACTATCAATTTTACAGAAAAACTGTAAGAGACAAAAATTACTTATTTTCTTCTCATAAAGTTCTGAGATTTTTTTCAGAATTTTTTATCAACTTTTTAGTACTGCATTTTCTTATTTTTACCAATATGAGAAAATACGGTATTAAAAAATTCTGGAAAAATTCTCAGAACTTTATAAGAAGAAGATAAATAATTCTCTTGCAGTTTTTCTGTAAAGTTGATAGTATTTGAGTAAAAAATTATTCACGACCAATATTTTGCAATTTTTAGTGATTAATATCTTATTAACTATTGCGAAAATTGTAAAATGGTAGAGGACTTTTCGACTCAATTTAGTCCGCTCTATCAACACAGAAGTGATTGATAAAAAAGGTCGAGACACCCTGTATAACTAAAATACTGATATTTGCACGTTAATTTCAATTTTACAATACCATATTCATTGAATTTAAGAACAAAACAAAGTTAGTTAGATCACATAATAAAGATTAGCTACGTTAGGAATCTCACATTTAATTCACTGATTACCAGTGGCATACTTGGCAGAGATATCAGTGATTATACACTGATCCAGAGAATAATAGGTAAATATAATATACCATTCACTTGCTGCTGCAGTTGTTGTAGCAACTGCTGCTGCTGCTGCTGTTGCTCCAAAATGGCATCATATCGCTTTCGCTCCTCTTTCTGCTGTCGAAGCAGCTCCTTCATCATGCTCTCCACAGATTCCATAGGAGTATCCTCCTCCAACAACATCCGCTCAGCAGCATCAGAAATTTCTTCTGGAAAAACCAAAAAAATGTAACCATAAAAATGTAGACAGAAAACCAACGTGATTTTCGTATCAAAATAACGATAAATGAAAGAGAATACTGCATAAATATGCGTATAAAAATTGTGTAATACTTACTCGACATCTTAGCCAAGCGTCAATCAATAACACGAGGTTGGCACAGAGTGAAGTTGCACATCGAGCGTGGATTATCAACTATGGTGGGATCAGAAAGGTGAAGCATTGCACAAGACGGGGTGGGGAGGGGGGAATTTTGACAACTAAAACGCAATAGGCAATGCATGGCAATACAAGATCACATTGGCCATGGAAAATTGATCACGTAGGATATTTATAACCGTATATACGGTGGAACGCGCGGGCGTTCGTCTTTCTTCGGAGCGCATCCGGCTATACGATCTCAGCGAAATATTTTTTTTTATTCGTCTGTAGTCTCAGACATTGCACACGAGCTTTAACATTTTGGTTCCAATCCCTGGGGCAAGCGTAGGAAATTTTCGAGCGCATGTACGAGCGATCTCGCGGGCGTTTGCCATTATTCGGAGACGTTCCGGAGCCACAATCTGAATCAATTATTTTTTTTTATTCGTCTGTAGTCTCAGACATTGCACACGAGCTTTAATATTTTGGTTCCAATCCCTGGGGCAAGCGTAGGAAATTTTCGAGCGCATGTACGAGCGATCGCGCGGGCGTTTGCCATTATTCGGAGACGTTCCGGAGCCACGATCTGAATCAATTATTTCTTTTTATTCGTCTGTAGTCTTAGACATTGCACACGAGCTTTAACATTTTGGTTCCAATTCCTGGGGCAAACGTAGAAAATTTTCGAGCGGACCGTCTTCGTTTGAAACTGGACGTACATTGCAAATTTTTGGACACATGTATATATGCGTGATTTTCTATTGTCTGTTATTTCTATGTGTAGTCACCTTTACTTTTCGCTCCAAACTTCAACCACATAGATAACATACATTTTCTTTAAAAAATCTTACAATTCTTCCTGGTGTCGCGACCACCAGTTAAATATCTTAAATACATTTTGCAAAGAGCAATTCTTTGCGTGTCTTCCACATTGTATAGTATTACAATCATCGAGATTAGTTAAAGATTCCATGTCTTTGTAAACTGCGTCCAAGGTCACGATATTCATGCGTTCTCGCTTATCGTCCAGAAGCAAATTCCACAGCCACATTCGTTTCTCGCGTCTCTTGACATATACGATAGCATCATCATCCTCTTCTATCACGGCTTCCATAATTAAACATCTCGCCATGCTGTACGGGACCATCCCGTCCTCCCATCGCAATCCATGGTGATATGCACTCAACCAGGAAGCGCAAGACCTGTCGGATCTTGTCAAAAATTTCCATGGCACGGGACACGTAAAAATATAGTGTGTGAGAATGGTTCCCCTTCTCAATACTGCTACTTCTTTGACGATAAATCTTTTTTCGACGATGAATCCTTGTAGATCCACAAATGTTGGTATGACCATGACGAGCAATTATTCAAGACTGCACCTCACCCTGGTTTTCTCTCCCTTTTAAAGTTCTAAATACTTGTTCACGTTGCAATTTACATGATTTTGAGCACTACGTTGGACAACGGACAGCACTCGATTACACGATCGTGTATGATAAGACAATAGGCGGTAGTATTGGCGGGCACATTCTCCTTGCAGTCAAATTCTATGCGCACATCCACAGTGGTGCTCTTGACGGATTCGTTTTGTCGCGAGCAGTCAATAACCGCAAAAGGTCCTTTCTCGATAAACGATAGTACGTTGAGCAGCGTTTCGAAGCTATCGATTCCATAATATGTTTTACGAAAACGTGCGTACATGTCAAACAGGACAGCGTACCTCTTTTTTGCCAAAATCCTGATTTAAATCACCATACGGATAAAAATCTGAATTTAGATATACTTTCACATTACTCAAATTACAATCGTCGAACACGCTGATATCTTGTGACATGACATTCTTTCGCCCAGTCTGTAGAGCAAAGATAACGTATCGAGGTTTGTCAAGTTGAGTCGCCGTTTTAACGGCCCATGAATGCTTGGTCGTATTCTGCAACAGAGGATACTCGTACAGATCTCACGAGCGAAAACTCATGCTCAGATAACGACCGCTTTCCAATGCTTGCAGCATTGATAACACAGGCCTGCATGGTTTTGTTGATTGGGATTTAACTATGTTTTCTTACGTAATTATCGCGTTGAATCCGAATCCCGCGGCAGAATTGCTCTATCATGTTAGATTTTTGAGAACAGTGAGGTTAAAGGTGTCAAAATTTATGTTTTTTGACATATTTGTGATTTTTTTGCTAGCGAAGTAAATTTTTTTTTCTACTTTCGTTTACGCCATCTGAAAGTGTCAACATTTATCTTCAAAATATATTTTTTTTAACGCCGTACGTTTTTTTTTCACCGAGATAATCTCTGTGTAGTCACACAGAGAAAAACATTTTTGACACAAAATGTTTGTGTGATTAACAGAGATTAACTATGTTTTCTTACGTAATTTTTTGCGCTTAATCCGAATCCGGCTGTAGAATTGCTCTATTACGTCGAGATTTCGAGAAATCTTAACCCAAAACAGCCAAATAAGCCATTTTCAGCCATATTTGAAATTCAATTAAAAATTGATAAAATTTTTGTCGTCTAATCCATCGATGGTATCATTTACTACTATACAGCCCCTTCAAAATCCATTTTGGACCGTCCCAAAGCGATTTTTTTTCCGGAGATATAGCAATTCGAATTTCGATAAATTGTATCTCGTAGAAGCCTAATCTCTATACCGTTGTATTAGAGCAAACGGTATTTCTGGACAGATTAGCTTATTCTTTTATATTTTGTCATGGATTTTGAAGGGGCTGTATAGTAGTAAATGATACCATCGATGGATTAGACGACAAAAATTTTATCAATTTTTAATTGAATTTCAAATATGGCTGAAAATGGCTTATTTGGCTGTTTTGGGTTAAGATTTCTCGAAATCTCGACGTGATAGAGCAATTGTGCAGCCGGATTC